AAAATTTTTTGATAACTGCTGGCTTCTCTTTCCCATATGTTTTTCACTCAGAAACTTTAGCAGTGGCGAACAACACAGTGCCAGCTGCTCAACTTAAAACTGGCCAGATGATGTACTCCGATGAAGACAACGTGTTCTACATGGAACTCGTCAACGAAATTATCACAGATGCGAACTACTACATGAACGTAAACGAGGCAAAGGTGAGAACAGAAAGATGTGAAAATGTTGTTAAAGCAAACTATCACCTGCAACATCTGTAACCTGCGTCTTATTAGTGACTCAAGAGGGAGCCACTAAGCCTTCAATTTTTCCCTGCCTCGTGTATGAGTAGCCCAGTGGCTTCCGCTTGCTCTATGACTCCCTGAGCATTATACCCTTCTTTTAGGCTCTTCGTGAAAAACTCTGACCATCGGCTCGGTGGTCTTCCTGCAGTACGTTTGACATCCCGAGGAATCCAGTCACTAACGGCTTTTCTCCATCTGTTGTCATTCATACGCATTACGTGTCCGTCCCACCTTATCGTCGACTGTTTGGCGTACAGAATAGCATCTTTGATTTTTTATCTTTGACGCAGCTCGGAGCTTCGGATCCCTTCTCTCATTCGTGTGACACGGGATACTCCTAGCATTGTCCTTTCGACTGCGCATCCAATAACGTTGAGTGATCTTTCATCCTGCTTATGCAGCGACCTGGTTTCGGACGCATACGTCAAGGAAGGAAGAATCGTGGAGTTCAAAAGGTAGATATGGAGTCGTATGCTCTTTGTCCTCTTCACTATATCTTCTATGGTCTTCGGAGCTTCCTCCTGCTCAATTCTAGAGCTAAGGCGACCCCAATGCGTTTCTCATGGACATCTTTTTTGTGAGAATTGATCGAAGACCAATTTTTCAATAGGCGTCATTAAAGTCAGCAAACATTCGTATTCGTACAACATTTGGTTGTAAGAGCGACGTCATCAGATAGGCGAACATAGTGTAATTTCCGAACATTGGTTTTTACTTTGATGTTGTCCCATTCCAGTGTTCGCATGACTTTCTCTACGATGGCTGTGAATAATTTTGGCGAGTTGGTATCGCCTTGCCAAAGCCCTCTTTTGACATCGATGTTAATATCGTTGTGGAATGGTTGTATCTTGGTTGTGAAATTTTTATACAGCTTACGAGGAATCTCTATACACTGAATAGGGACTCCCAGAATGTCCAGGGCTTCCATGACTGCTTCTGCCTCATCTAAGTCAAAAGCCTTCTTCAAATCGATGAAAGTGAAACAGAGCGGTCTTTCGTACTCTCGCGATACTCCGATGAGTCTTGTCGTGTGGATGTGGTCCATTGTACTAAATCCTTTTCGAAACCCTGCTTGCTCACATGGCTGTCCTTTGTGCAGTGTTCTGTCAATCCTGTTTGGGATGACTGGAGCGAGAAATCTGTAGACGACAGACAGCAGGCATATTGGGCGATAGTTGCCGATATCGTGTAAGTCGCCTTTCTTGAACAATAACACGGTCTTGTTGGTTTTCTACAGAGTAGAGACCTTGCATTCAGCCAGGTAACGTGTGAAGAGCTGAGCCAGTGTATTGATCAAGACTAACGGAGGGTTCTTCAGGTGTTCAGGTCTTATCCTGTCCGGACCTGGCACTGTTCGAATTTTCACCAGCGAAATAGCATGTCGGACTTCGGAAGTGAGAGCCGGTGGCAGGGCATATCCATCTTCCATTTTTTATATGAGGAAAGGAGGACGTATTTATTGAACAGATCTGAGTAGTAATTATGAATGGTTTTCTCCGTTGCCTTTCTAAAGGCTGCAACTGTTCTAACTTGGTATCGGAGTACAATCATCTTGACTTTGCAGCTGGAGAAGCTTCCTTCGGTGGGCTTTTCGAACACTCTCTCTAGACTGCAGCTTCGACCATAACTGTTGCTCTTCTGTCTTTAAGATCTTCTTTTATCACCCCTGTGCATTGTTGCACAAGATCGGACATAAGTTAGCAGTCGCCTGTAGCTCTTGCAATTCCACGCTGCGTATCAGCCCGAGGGTTTCTGAAGACAGACGTCTTGTTGAGAAGATGCCGTTCTCGATAACATCTGATAACATCGATGAGGAGTACTATCCGTACGTCGTTCAACATCTTCTTGTAAGCGCCATAAAATCTGAGTTTGAAAGGAAGAACTGAAAACTGTTGGAAAACAAAATTTTAACCAATTTTTCTCCGAAATTCTCCGGCGATGGTGCTAAAAGTTTTCCAAGAAATTCTTTTGATCGAAGCTGAAAGATAGAGTTCCTTTGCATAGACATACAACTTCACATTTCCGCCTATCCATATTATCAGTGGAGGGATCAAATCTGTACAAAGGGGAGCAAATCTAGTGAGCAATCAGGGTTTTTTCTTGGTAAGCGAGGTTGCTCCCAGTTCATTAACTACTTGGCCGTAGAAAACCAGGCTGAGCAAGCTTGTTATAGTTGAATCTTATCAAAACTGTGCGCCAGTGATTGATGTGATTGAAATAATGAAATTTCTTAGTCAAACAACTGTTTCAAGCTAAATACGACTAGTAAATGAGGAAGTGTTTTAGGATAACGGTTCTAGTCCTCTACTTTACAACGATCTCACCATTTGCTTGTCCAACACCACCTTACTTCCGTACTCTTATTCTTGTAAGTGTGTGTACAGTCGAGGGAACAATAGCGAAACAGCAGAAGTAGGCAATATCCTTTGACGAAGTTGTCCTTAATATTATTAGCGAAGCGGCTTCTCAGATGAAAATATGGCCTTTTTAGTACACTTTGGGTTCTTTTTTTGGGCGAATTTAAAAATTCTTTTTGGTGTCATTGGAAAAAAATATAACGGGAGCCTGGCCAGTAATTAATAAACGAGGCTTGGCAAAAACTGACGTAGGACAAAGAAATGAGAAGAAAGTTCGTAAAGGCTTAAACAATGGCGAAGAAATGACAATGCCGCTTTCCACTCAAAGAACGATCGTTTTCGATTTCACTATAGTTGAGGTGAATTATATAATGGAAACCACTTCCTTTAATTTTAGAGTATTATGAAAAATACAGATAAAAAACTACTAAAGATAAACACAACCATCACCTGTATCACCTGTCGCGTGCAAGAGTAGCCCAGTGGGTTCTTCTCGCTCTAGGGACTCGCCGAGCACCATATCTTTCTTCAAGGCTATTTGAGAAGAACTCTGACCATCGGGTCGGTGGTCTTCCTGCAGTACGTTCAACATCCCAAGGAATCCAGTCACCAACGGTTCTTGTCGATCAGTTGTCGTTCACACTCACTACGTGTCCGGCCCACCTCATGTTCGACTGTTTGGCGTACAGAACAGCATCTCTGATTCTTGATCGTTGACGCAGATCGGAGCTCCGGATCCCATCCCTTACTTTTGTGGAACGGGACACTCTTGGCATCGTCCCTTCGACTGCGCGTTCGATAGCGCTGAGTGACCACTAATCCTGCTTACGCAGCGACCAGGTTTCTGACGCATACGTTAGGGCAGGAAGTACTGTTGAATCGAAAGGGTGGGCACGGAGTCGGGTGTTCTTTGTTCTCTTCACTACATCCCCGATGCTAGTAAAAGCTCCCCGAACCGCTCGTTTTCCTCTGCTCAGTTCAAGAACTAGGTCGTTCATCATATTGATTTCCCGAATTAGGTAGATATAACGGTCGCATTCGGAGATATTAGTTCCGTTGAGCGTGAATGAGACATGTAAAACCAATCCGTTCTTCATGAACAACGCGTTTGTGAGATTTATTCGAAGGCCAATCTTTCCACAGGGTTTAACAAAGTCGTCAAGCACAAGTTCCACTTGGATAATGTTTGGTGTTATAAGGACAATGTCATCAGCAAAGCGAAGGTGGCGTAACTGCCGATCGTCGATTTTCACTCCCATATTATCCCATTCCAATGTACGCATGACGCTCTGGAGTGTGGCCGTAAATAGTTTTGTAATAATTTTGGCGAGATGGTATCGCCTTACCTAACTTCGCTTTTGACGTCAATGTTAATATCGTTGTAGAATGGTGATATCTTGGTTGTGAAATTTTTGTACACCTCACGAAGAATCTTTATTTACTGAGTAGACACTCCTTGATTATCAAGGGCTTCCAAGACTGCTTCTATCTCAGTTGAATCAAAGGCCTGCCGTTTTGTCCTCTCGCGATACTTTAATGAGTCTTGTTATCGCGTGGATGTAGTCCAAGCGAAGCGAGAGCCGGTGGTACAACATATCCATCTTTTTTATTTCATATGACGGAAGGTGGACGTTGCTATCGAAGAGATCTGAGTAGTATTCGTGAATGATTTTCTCCATTGCCTTTTTGGACACTGTAACTGTTCCGTTTGGGCGTCGAGGTGCAATAATTTTTGTCTTGTAATTGGTAAAGCTTCGGTGGGCTTTGCGAATGCTTTTCCCAGCCTCTGCAGCTTCGGCCATTATTGCTGCTCTTCTCTCTTTAAGATCTTCTTTTGTCGCCTGTCTGCATTGTTTTGCAAGTTCGGACGTTAGTTCGCGGTCCCCTGCAGCTAGTGCGATTCCACGCTGGCGTATCAGCTCGAGTGTTTCAGGAGACAGACGTCTCTCGGTGACTTTCGAACTCTCAGCTTTTATGGCGCTAAAGTGAAGATGTTGAGTGAGCCGATATTATTCTTCGTCTATGTTATCGACAACGGCATCTTCCCAGCAGCCGTTTAGTGAATTGAATAAATCCTAGTTTACGGTGGTTCTGGGTCTTCGGTTTTGGAATTTAGGAGTTTTTCTCCTTTCTACGAGAAATAGAATCTTGCACGATGGATAAGATGGTCTGATCCCGTGTAGAATTTTGAGACAACGGAGACATCGGTTAGGCAAAACCTATTTACTATATGTGGTCTATTTCGTTATGGTACTCTCCATTGGGATACTCCCACGTCCAGCGCTGAGGGTGGGGCTTCTGTATTTGCTAGTTACTATGGACGGTCTTAATCGCCATGATAAACTCAGATAACCGCTCACCCTCGTTCAATTCTAATCCGTGGGTTCGAATGTGACGTTCTTCTTGATCCAATCTTAACGTTGAAATCTGTAATGATCATCTTGAAGAATGTGTGGTCTTTTCTGTAGTTCTCCAAGTCCATATAGAACACTTCGGCTTCTTCTTCGTCATAGTTTAATTTTGGCGCGCGAACGACGAATACTGTCAAAGCCAGAATTGATCCACATTTCTTCAATCGTAAACGCCCAAATCGGACGGTTTGTTGCTCCAATGAAACGATGTTCATGGACAAACTAGTGTTGACGGGAACGCCGATGCAGCCGTCTTCTCTGCTGTTGCATGTTCCGAGGAACAGCCTCTTTTTGAGCAACTCCTTCGTAGTGATGAAGTTGCGATCCTATCTTCTTGCTTGAGAAACTGAGGAGAATTCCGCACAGCTTTTCAGTCCTTCGGCAAGCAGCTTGCAGTCTTCGGTCGGATCCTCTTTAATCTGCCAGTCACGTTTCGACAGGACTTCGTTCAGAATGTTCTCGTCGTATACAGCTAGACTTTTTCCTCATGGTCGATGAAGAGAGTTTTTTTCCAGCTTGTAGCTGAATCGAATCTTCGCGCGAAGGCGGTGCTCGGAACCAGTACAGAATGACGGGACTACCGATGTGTCAAGTAGGCACCATCTTTTGCTTGTCTGAACGTGGTATATATCCGCATGAGTTGTGCCGTTAGAAGACTCCCGTGTCCAGCGGCTGCTTTCCTTTTTCTGGAAAAACGAGTTTTCATGGAAAAGACGTGCTGTGGGCAGGGGTCCTGAAAGACGGTTCCCATTCCGATTTCTTTCTCCTAATCGAAAATTTCCGGTCCTGTATTCACTGTCGTTGGCCTTTTCTATTCTGGCGTTAAAGTCACTAACAACAAATTTATTATATGCTTTATCATTGCAAATGACTTTCTCCAACTGATAGTAGAACGCATTTAATTCGTACTCATCAGCTGCATCGGTCCGTGAGTAGCAGTTGATGATAGTGATCTACTTATGTTGTCAGAGTTGAAGGCGGAGGACTGCTATGCAAGGGAAAGGATCACGTATGGCTCGACGAGATGGACAATGGACGGGTGGACGACAAAGCCTACGTCGTCGACATTTCGTGATGGGATCTTTTTTCCACGGATCACAAGGGTCCCGTTGTTTAGTTGGCGTATGTCGATCTTCTTGATTTTTGTTTCCTGTAATGTGATCACATAAAATTTAATGCGATCTGTGGCTACAGGAAGGGCATGAAGATCGGCGTCTGTGGAGAGTGTTCTAGTATTATACGTGCATAGGAAGAAGCAACCTCCAAGGCGTGTCGTGTGTGTGTTCATCAGGTCCGGTTCCAATGACGTCCTGAGTAACCAAAGATTTTCTGGCCGCTCACCGGTCGTTCTACCGCCTGACGTCGTGGGCGGGAGCACCCAGTGTGTGGGGTAATGAGGCTCGCCTATTGATGGTTGTGCATGTTCGTCCATGGACTCCTGACTTAGCCTCGGAAGAGTGTGTCAAGATCTTCACCACGGTGGATCTCAAGGAGGCATATTTTCGGCGACAAATCCTTCGCTTAGTCTTCCTACTAGTTAATTCTGAGAAGTTGAGGAAGTTTAGAGTGCAGAAATAGTAAACGACGAACAGTACTAAGGCTTACTGACCGACAGCTGTCGACCTTTCTTGGTGTCCCTTCCCGTGCACCATTTCACCACTCTGGATGTAATCCCCACGCAGATTATAGCTTTATTTCTTTTCAAACAGGAAATAACCGTGCAGCGGTTCTTTGCTCTCTTCATTGAAGTTTTCGATTTTTGCTTGCTAACATATTAATCCGAAGAATTTTATTTTGCAATTATGCGATATCGAAGAGGGAGATCCACTGGTCGCTTTCCGAGAGACTCGTTTTTGAAAAGTACCTCTCTTGCTTTTCCAGCTATACTTCGCGTTTTCAGAAATTCATTGCAAATGTAATGAAGTGGTTAGCAGCGGAGTGCAGCGGTTCAGATTGATGTAGAATATTAGCCACGCGGGTCTTTTAGTTGTTATATTGATCTACCAACCTCAAACCTGGGTAACTAAGCTTTTAATACATAAAGATAACATTAATAACATAATAGTAACAATAGAGATGTAATGGCAGAGGACCGACGCGAGTTAAAAGCTCTGAGGTTCTAAGACTAGTAGTGAAGTGAGGCTACCCACGATATAATGGTATTTGAATATTAATGTGCCATTAATACAATATTAACAGTAATAATAAACGATTACAAAGAAGTAACCGTTGGTTAGCCCCGAGCGATGCCGCAACGCGTCATCCGCGGCCTGTGCGGCGGCTAAGGGAGACAGTATGCTAGGGGCGAAGGGAGGAGACTGTATGCCGCGGAGATGGAGACAGTATGGCTGAGGTGGTGAGGGTTACAGACTGGCCGTGTTTCGACCAAGCTAAGATTTCAACATTATAGCGATGAGGAGCATTTTAGTGGATCGATGATGACAGTAAGTTACATGAGCGTTGACGGTGCTATGGACAGTGAATGATGAGTCATCTACGGAGCACAGTCAGGCGGCTGGTCGTGAATAACGCAATGTTAGCAACGTGAACTTTGAGCATCGATGGATGCCACCATTACCTAAAGGTCAAGGGCCAGTATGATAAATGGCTACAAAACTGATAAGCCTATAGCGGCTTAGCAGAATACATAACATAAGTTGGCCGCTTAGCGGCATTGTACGCATGGCGTACATTGTGGGAGGAACAGTACATGCCACCGATGGCGTTGCAAACAAAACGCCTATGGAAACACCCGCCACTACTGACATCGCACCGTAGACAAGCTGAGAAACGAGATACAGTAATCTGCTGAATACTGAAGGATGAATGAGAATGAATGAGTGTGACTAAGAATGAGTTGAGGTGATTGAGGATGATATTTGAGTGATGGCATGTCTCCGCAGTCGAAGACACCTGGCTTATATCGGCTGCGGGAGCAGTGTGCGTGTGCAACCGCGGTTAATCTGGATTGTTGATCCTGGACCGCAATAGACTGTACCTAACGGCCTGAAACATCAAACGTCATTAGCTTCGTTGTTTCGCAAGGAAGTAGTAAAGTGTTCCACTGAGACGCCTCCGGATAAGCTATCGTCGGTATGCTACTGAAGTCAAACCTGAATCGCTATTGTACCTGAAACACAGAACATAATTGATCGAGAAGATTACAAAGGTTACATTGCGGTGTTTGATGTGCAACTGCGAGGTGGCCATATTTGGATTTCAAATACTATTATTTAGATAGATAGAGAACTAATCAATATGTATTCTCTCTTGATAAGCTTGCACGAGGTTGATAAATATATTTATTTTCGGCTAACGTTTCGACGTCTTCGTCTTCCTCAGAGCCGGTGATCCGAGTCGATGGTCCGTGCTTGTTGTTCGCCTCGACGTTGCGTCTTCGCATTCGTGTCGAGCCAGATCTTCCTCAGTGAGCCATCTTCTCGAATGAGGCATCCTCACTCAGTGATGCCCTTTTATACACAATGCTGATGGTGGATATATAATGACAATGTCCGGTGGTAACAACTTGTATTTCTTCCGGACATACATCATTGCGCACATCGTGCAGAGGTCGGTGTATTATCAGCTAGCACAAAGCTTATTTATTTTTATATTTATCAACCTCGTGCAAGCTTATCAAGAAAGAATATATATTGATTAGTCACACCGAGGTTTAGGGAAGGTCGGTTTCGAGATAGAGAACTTTTCAAGAGAGAAGTTCTCTATAGGGGCTGGGTATACTCACGGGTAGCTTGCCAGGCTCTCTCTGAGTGGACATGGAGCTTATTTGTTGGAGGCGACTCTAACCGCATCACATATACTTCCCAGTCACTTGTTGCAGATTTTTGGCCGAATTTACTCGTAGAATGCAATCCGCATAAGTAAGAACGCACCCATACACACATGCATGCACGCAGTGATAATGTGCGGTATTCCATTATACTTCCACGTGATTTCTGTGCGGTTGGTCTCTACGTGACATACTTAGTGGAAACCTCATAGAAAGCGGCTCTGAAGAAGGTGAAATTCGCCGAAACGTCAGCTTAATCGTGAGCAAAGAATAGTAACACCTCGCGTTTGCTCAACAAAAGTACGAAAAAAATCAATTAATTGAGACTGTCACGTTGGTATTCGATTTCACACCGCATTCAGATGGCGGTCTCATTCACGGAGTTCTCAGAATCGGAGTGCGATGAGGTGATACCGGTCCACTAGAAAGTCGCGAATATTCTCCAATAAGTTCAAAAGTAGTAGAAAAACTCTGTCTGTGACAATCATAGTGGTTCTATTCCTTAGTGGCGCGCTGTTACTCTTTCCGGCGGCTAACGCGTTTAATTTATGCGCATCACAAAATTGCGTTATATGCCCTGATGGTGGAGACGGCAATTGCATGACTTCGGGTACGCGTTCGTTTCAAAGAACAGTAAATTTAAATTGGAACCAAACACTCCAGTAGGTGCTCATAAGGCACAAAAACATAACTGGGAAGATTTTGAAATAAAAGTTACTATTGTCGCACAGGAATCCAAAACATTAGCGCGTAAAATTTTCGAATCGTTCTGGATTACAATCTTAGCCTTTTTATTTACGGCCTATTCTTTTTAATGGTAGACTATGTTGCGAAATATAACTTCTATAATACTGAAATATTTACAAAACTGCGGACCGCAGGTGTCTACGGTGGAGAACGAGCGCGCTATTATCCTTTCCGGGGAGTAACGCGTTTAACACTACAGACCCGCATCGCGTGGTAGTGAACGTGTTACTTCCCGAGAAGGATAATAGCGCGTTCGTTCCCCACCGCAGACACCTGCGGCCCGGAGTTTTGCAATTATCTCGTTTTGGATTAATTCAAAAATTACAAAAACAAACAGGAAGGAAGAGTGCCTCGTTATCACGCGTGACCTCGTGCCATACCTTAGGCTGATTCTATGACCTGTCCTAGGCATATTCCTCGCCCATATTTTAACCTGTGCGGCTGCACTGTACCAGTTGATTTGACTACTTGCAGAGAATGAAACGATGGGTGTTTAAGCTATTAATTAAGCGAATGCAGACTTATCTGTTAAGCCTTATCTGCTAAGGTTATAAAAGTGTTTGGCTGGGTAGATTGCATGTCAATTTGACCTTTCCAGGCTCCAAAGAGAGCGAAATCGCTGATATATCACCAACGTACTAATAAATTCTTAAGTACCAACACCCTGTTTGCTCACTG